AACTTTGTTTTTGTTCCTGATTTACAGCATCTGCAGTTCTTTTGGTTTGTATTTTGCTAGGTCAATGAAGCTGTGCAGACATGATGGGCTCATTCTGTACTGTAACAACTCTCCAATTCAGTGATTAACTTTCCGGTAAAAGAATAGGTCGCTGAGGCCTGCTTAACTTCTTTCAGTTTTCAGGAATGAACATTGAGTTCTGTCAATGTCAATCCAGAGGCTGTTAATGTTACTCATTCAGACTTTGACAGGGTCTGATACAATCTGGAACAAAACCTTCACATCAGCATCTTTTCCAGGTACAGCTGCTTGGTGCTCTCTCCACCACCTACTCACACTGATTCCTTTCTTTCATTTTAAAAATAAACCTTATTCATAAAAAGATCTTTTATACTCATACATAGCCTTTAGGGCAGTTCAATTCTGTACAGTCTTTGCATATGAAGAACAAACAAACCAAAGGTATCTCTCACTTGTACAAAATTATATTTACATCTAAGGAGGGTCTGATAACTGAATGGGCCCCCATTTACCTTCGGCAGGAAGACCTCAGACAGTGGTCTTTCCCCAATGTGCCTTGGCAATAGCTGCCCCAAGCTTTAGTGCATCCCTCAGCACATAGTCCTGAACCTTCGAATGTGCCAGTCTGCAAAACTCAGTCAGGGTCAACCCCCTGTTCTCAAACGCCAGCAAATTTCAGGCAGGCGAAAGAGTGTCTTTCAGCACATTGATGTTCCTCCAGGCGCAGTTGATGTTTGTCTCGGTGTGTGTCCCAGGGACTGATCTCAGAGCACAGAGTCCCACGTCGCAGAGCTGCTCGCCACAAACCTCGACAAAAACCCCTGCATTTCTCTCCTGACTTCCTTTGCCTTGTCACACATCTCCTTCTGGAATGTGCGTGTCTGCCCCGTCTGCAGTCGCTTCGAGGGCAGCGTGCAGTTGCGCAGAGGGTCTGGGCATGCATGACGGATCTCACAGGCAGAGCCCTACTCACCACCAGCCAAGCAATGCCCTGGTACTTGTTAGAAAGTTCTGCCAAATTACTTTGACAGTCTTTGACTCAACAAAATCCACCCTCTCCTTTTCTCAAAGGGTCTCAAGGATTGCCTGACGGACTTGTGGTCAAAGGTGTTTTTCTTCACAAATTTCTCCACAAAGGACAGGTGATATGGGAATAGTCTATCCATTTGAAGCGTTCTGCGGCAACAGGGCCAAGCCTAACCTTTGCAACACCAGGGGACAGGTAGAACCTCAGTAAGTAGTGACACTTAGTGTTTGTGTACCGAGGGTCTATACATAGCTTGATGCAGTCACACACAAAGGTGGCCATCAAGATGAGGGTAGCATTGGGTATGTTTTCCCCACTTTGTTCAGTTCTTTATGTATAATGTCCTTTTGGCCTTGGTCTACCCTGGGCTTCCAGATGAAATGGAAGATGGCTTGGGTGACTGCAACAGCGCAGGTTTGGGAAATGGACCATGTACAACAACAGAGAGAGTGCCTCACACCTGATTACCAGGCTTTTACCCACAATAGTGAGGGAGTGATGCGCCCACAGGCCCAGTCTCTGCCTCACTTTGGTGATGCGCTCCTCCCAAGATTTTGTGCACACCCCAGCCCCTCCGAACCATATTCCCAGCACCTTTAGGTAATCTGTCCTGATGGTGAAGGGGACAAAGAATTGGTTGGCCCAGTTCCCAAAGACCATGGTCTCGCTCTTGCCTCTATTTACCTTGGCACCTGAGGCCAGTTTGGATTGGAGGCAGAAGCTCATGAATCTGTTCACTGACAGGCGATCCAAACAGAAAACAGCAACGTCATCCATGTACAGGGAGGGGAGGCATTGACCTGCAGGTCTCTGCTGCCTGGAATAGTCACCCCACACCCTCAGGCTCACATCCTTCCTGGTGGACTCAGGAGAGGGTCAGCCAGTCAGTACATTGAGCTTGTCTTCATTCTGTCCATTTGTACAGCTTCCTGCTTCACATTAGCCCACTTTACAATGTGATTGTGATGGCTGCTCTCATTACAATGTACAAACCAGGGATATGCCTGTTCTGTGAGATCACATTTTGATCAGACAGAGAGTTACAAAACCCACCAGGCTTCACTGAGATTACAATTGGTGCTGCTTTAAAATGTACACACTGGATTCCACTGGATTACAGATCTCTGTGATCCTCTGGTTAGCTCACGTAGGGTTTGAATCAGATAATCTTTAAACTCATCAACTGAAGGTTTTATCCCGAATTGAAATTGGAAGCTGGGTTGATTATGAATTAATTTTTCTTTCAGTCCTTTTCAGAGTAAAGGAACCTTCATGGGAAACATAGAGTTGACTTAAATTCGCATGAACATAGAGCTGTAGATGTGAACTCATTGATTTGACGCTGTTGCCAAAGTGTAACACCTAACACTTATCGATGTTGAAAATTATTTGCTAAATATAAGTGCATTCTCCAAGTTTGTTCACTCTGTAATTACTCACAGTTCTCTTCCCCCTTTCCAGCACTGACACTTCACCCCCTCCTAGATTACTCTCTGATAAATGCAGGAAGTCTGTTTGTGATTCCAAACTCTAAATTGTTAATGTCAAATAGTTCAGCGGCTCTGAAGAATTCCCTGGTCTCCCAACTCTGCATCCTGGTCTCCCTAATCCCCTGACGCTGCAGTAATATCTCTGCTAGCTTTTCCAGATGAAATCTGCCCAGGCCAGCAGACCTCAAGTTTCTTTATGGACTTAGTATTTCGCAGAATTGTTACAGTACAGGAGACCATTTGGCCCATCGTGTCTGTGCTGGGTCTCCCAATGACCATTCTTCCACCTTTCTCCCCTAACCCTGCACATTCTTCCTTTCCAGGTAGTCCTTTTGAATACCCATTTACTTTAAATGCAGTTATCTCATTTCTCATCACCCATTGTTAAAAAAAAACAACAAAATGACATCTCAAAGACCATTGAGTTCTGGTTTCTCCTGCACAGTTTGTTTTTTTTAATTCATTCACAGATAGTGTGAGTGCCAATGGCTAGGTCAGCATTTATCACCTATCCCTAATTGCCCCAGTATATTCTCTGTGTCTGGAGTCACATGTAGGTCAGGACACCAGATTTTAGAGTCATACTGCATGGAAACAGGCCCAAACTGGTCCATGCTGGCCATGGTGCCCATTCAGCCAGTTCCAATTGCCCTCATTTGGTTCATATTCCTCTAAACCCTTCCCATCCATGTACCTATCCAAATGTTTTTTAAATGTTGCTATTGCACCTGCCTCAACCGCTTTCTCTGGCAGCCCATTCCATTATACGCACCACTCTCTGCATGAAAAAGTTGCCGGTCAGGTCCTTCTTAAATCTATCCCCTCTCACCTGAACTCAATCCCCTCTCACCTTAAGTCGATCCCCTCAGTTTTCTTCTCTAAAAGGACATTAGTAAAACGGCTGGGATTTCTTTCCCCCAACATTGGTTTCACAGTCACCATTAGACTTTTAATTCCAAATTTTTTTAATTGAATATGATATGGTGAGAGTCAAACTCCAGATTATAACCTGGATCATTAAATTCGTATTCCAGTGATAAGACCACTTGGCCATTGTCTCCCTGTTCTTTCCTGCTCCTCTGATGCTGCTTGGCCTGCTGTGTTCATCCAGCTCTTGTTATCGCAGATTTTCCAGCATCTGCAGTTCCTACTATCTCTAGTACATTGTTAATGAGTTGTGTCTCATGGATGTTTTAGGAATGTAGCATTTCAGCAGAGCAGGCTGGGTAAAAGTAGAAACATGGGGAATTTACACAGGGGTTGTCTTTATGTTGTGTGCTTGAACTGGCCCCACCGAAGACGCAGTTCAGAGTAAGACCACACGTGTGCACCTTCTACTGTCCAAATTCTAACAAGATTAAAGAGGGACATGGTGTGATGCTGGATGACTGAATGGGATCCCAGCACTGACAGGTGGCTGGAAAGTCTCCACATTCATGAAATCCTGTTTTTCTTGGAAAGTGTGAACTTCGTGGTGACCTGATACAACAGTCTGAATGAACTTACTGAAGATGGGAGCCTCTAAACTAGGAATGACTGATAAAACCAGCAAGGAATTTGGGGAAAAACAAATCTTTATAAAAAGAGCATCAAGAATGCACAGGATGCCTGGGGTGATTGAGGGCAATAGCAGAAGTGCCTTTGTAGGGGGTAGGGGCAAAGCAATAGAACGCCATGTTGATGAAGCAGAATGAGAGGAGGTTTATGCAGAGCACATCACGGACTGGATGGGCTAAATGGCCTGTTATGTGCTGGGCCTTCATGTGTTTTTATTTGTAAATAAAATTTCACCTTTATTACAAGTTTCAATTGTAAAAGATTGGGGGTGGCCCTTCTGCAAGACAGTGTTTGACTGACTGTAGCTGACAAAGAAGCAGTGACAAAAGAGAAATCATCTCCTCAGTTCCATAAGACATTGTTCCCTGGTCAACGAACAAGGCCCGTGACACGTTTGCAAAGACTAAGAGAGTAATGGCGTTGAACTTGAGAGGTTAACGGATCGATACAAACTATTTTAAAGGGGGAAGTGTATTTACTCATATTGTCAGGTCATCCAGAGTGGGGCAGTATTACTGTTACAGCAGAAGTTTCCTATGATCAAACTGTTTGACTACAGGAGCCGTACAACAGTATTAATGTCTTATTGAATCATGAAAATGGTCAATTGATCTCTCTTCCTGAGTTTAAAATAAAACATGTTCACTAGGATTCTTTAATGTACTCACAGCTAGGTCTGTGAAAATATAAGGCAACTTCAGTCCATAGGCTGTTGCTAGGTAATGTGCAGCACAGATCTGAGGGTTTTTTACCAAATCTATTTGTCCAACAACTAAGGGCCATAAAATCTACCTCTTGTCTCTTATAAAATCTTCACCTCCCAGACTTGCCTGTTCTTCCAGTAAGTGGTGAATAATTCTCCTTGACCTTTGGACATTTCACCACCGAGAAATCACATGACAAACCTGCTTCGATCCAGAAATATCCAGTTTTTCACGTTCCATAAATATAACGTAGATGTATTACTGAAACTACATCCTGCTTCAGAATAACTCATCATGGTATTTAATGTTTTACAATGGCAGTTATGATGCAGCTTCTTGTCGGGGCAAAGATTTTGTATTTCTCGACTCTGAGCACAAAGATTCTCCAGATCAATATTGACGAGGACGGTGAGTATTCAGTAAGACAGCCGATAATACATAACCTCCAGCTTCGAACTGAGTCTGTCTCACAGCACTGGGCCTCTGAAATACTCAGAACAATGCAGAGGTTTAAATTTGATTTGTAGTTGCATGTTCTGGGTGTGAAGAAGAATATTTTAGTCTGAGTTTGAGTTGGATTACTGATGTCATTTGCCAAGCGATCGCTCACATGCAGTTTGATAACAATCCCTCGAGGTCACTATCGAATCAGAGATAGTAGGAACTGCAGATGCTGGAGAATCCGAGACAACAAGGTGCAGAGCTGGATGAACACAGCAGGCCAAGCAGCATCATAGGAGCAGAAAGGCTGACGTTTCGGGCCTAGACCCTTCATCAGAAAAGGGGGAGGGGAAGGGGGTTCTGAAATAAATAGGGAGAGAGTGGGAGGCGGATAGAAGATGGATAGAGGGGAGGATAGGTGGAGAGGAAACAGACAGGTCAAAGAGGCGGGGATGGGGCCAGGAAAGGTGAGTGGAGGTGGGGAGTTAGGAAGGGGATAGGTCAGTCCAGGGAGGACGGACAGGTCAAGGGGGTGGGATGAGGCTAGTAGGTAGGAGATGGAGGTGCGGCTTGGGGTGGGAGGAGGGGATAGGTGGGAGGAAGAACAGGTTAGGGAGGCAGGGACGAGTTGGACTGGTTTTGGGATGCGGTGGGGGGAGGGGAGATTTTGAAACTTGTGAAATCCACATTGATACCATTGGGCTGCAGGGTTCCCAAGCGGAATATGAGTTGCTGTTCCTGCAACCTTCGGGTGGCATCGTTGTGGCACTGCAGGAGGCCCAGGATGGACATGTCGTCTGAGGAATGGGAGGGGGAGTTGAAATGGTTTGCGACTGGGAGGTGCAGTTGTTTATTGCGAACCGAGCGTAGGTGTTCTGCAAAGCGGTCCCCGAGCCTCCGCTTGGTTTCCCCGATGTAGAGGAAGCCACACCGGGTACAGCGGATGCAGTATACCACATTGGCAGATGTGCAGGTGAACATCTGCTTGATGTGGAAAGTCTTCTTGGGGCCTGGGATGGGGGTGAGGGAGGAGGTATGGGGGCAGGTGTAGCACTTCCTGCGGTTGCAGGGAAAAGTGCCGGGTGTGGTGGAGCTGGAGGGGAGTGTGGAGCGGACGAGGGAGTCACGGAGAGAGTTGTCCCTCCGGAAAGCAGATAAAGGTGGGGAGGGAAAGATGTCTTTGGTGGTGGGGTCGGATTGCAGATGGCGGAAGTGTCGGAGGATGATGCGTTGGATCCGGAGGTTGGTGGGGTGGTACGTGAGGACGAGGGGGATTCTTTTTTGGTTTTTATTGCGTGGACGGGGTGTGAGGGATGAGGTGCGGGAGATGTGGGAGACACGGTTGAGGGCGTTCTCGACCACCGAGGAGGGGAAGTTACGGTCCTTGAAAAACGAGGACAACTGAGATGTACGGGAGTGGAATGCCTCATCCTGGGAGCAGATGCGGCAGAGGTGAAGGAATTGGGAATAGGGGATAGCATTTTTGCAGGAAGGTGGGTGGGAGGAGGAGTATTCTAGGTAGCTGTGGGAGTCGGTGGGCTTGAAATGAATATCGGTTTC